GAAAATTATCATTAATTGCTTTCTTTACCAGGGGCAGGAGTTTAGAAAAAAAAAGAGGAATTCAGTATTAGTGTACGCATTACTTAACTCATCAAGTTGACACTGAGAAAGAAATAGACAGTGGATAGCAGACCATAAATCAATACTTGCCAAAGCATACAGAGAATTAAGCAGCCATGGCCAAAAAACCCTAATCCTCTCCTTTTTTTTTAATCCTCTCGGTAGGTGTATATATCAAGATGAGGCTATTAACAGCTGAGAGCAGAGAGCAGGACTCAAAATACTGTCAAGTACAACTTCAAAGCATTATGTAACATTAAACATACAGCCAACAGCAATTATAAGCAGAGGACTAAGTCCCCCTACTCATTAGAAGATACATATGTGTTACACATTCAGGTACATTCAGGTACATTCAGGTAACAGACACCTGAGAGGCTGAGACTTCAAGTAAATCCAGAATGTATCACCAACTGGGATGGAAAATGGGACATAATATAACTTCATTAGCAGATGTTTTATAGGCTCTCCAATAAGTGTTCCAGTAATCAGTGGATTTTGCTAACCAAAAGAAATGAAAAAAAAAGAGAAGGAAAAGAGATGCACAGAGCAAAAAGTTTTAAAGACTACAATCAATTATAGAAAGTGACAATGTCCTATAGTTCAATGAGCTTGATCTGTAAGCTTGAAGCAAGATATCTTCTTTATACAAGAAAGCAAATTGGTGCTTGCATCCTAGGATATTTTGGTTTTGCGCAAACATAAACATCTCATCATAAACCCAAACAGTTACCAACTTAAATTCCCATCATAGTAAAAGTAATTTTTTTTGTTGAATAACCATGGTCTCTGATATGGCATGTGACCATCACAACTAATCCACAAGTACCTACTACTTTGCATCAATACAAGTATCATATAACTCCGTCCACCAAGACTTGAACAGGTGGGAAGAGATCACCTAATGTTTTTTGCCTCTCTTAGGAATAGAATTGAGGCCTCACGATTCTCAACCCACTTCATAGACCACTAGGCCACACCCTTGGTTTGCTAGTAATCATAGACCAAGTTGATAGATGCTACTGGATTGAAATAAGCCTATATTAAGATAGATTTATGATTTCTAAAGCTCAGTTATGCATCATAATCATTTCAACCCAGGGCTATTCTCAACTAAATTCAAGTACCTTAACCTACCTTCCTAGTTCAGTCCAATATATAAGCACTGCTAGGGACACATCAATTCATCGGATATTGTCGCAAAAACAGTAAAATCAATTATATTTTGCATAAATTTTAAGAAATATACTTGAACTAATCAATTTAGAGCCTGTTTGGATTGGATTAAAAGTTGGTCAAACTTAATTTTTAAGCCATTTTTAGCTTTTGAAGTGTTTAATAAAATTAAAAATAACTTAAAGTAAGTTTTAAATGACTTTAAAAAGTTAAAAATCAAAAGTAGGATTCTCCCTACTTTATAGTTTTTGACTTATAAGTCATGCAAGTTTGACTTCTTATTTTTTGACTTGAAAGCTGCTTTTTTAAAGTCAATCCAAACGGATTCTTACCCTGAAGCATATCCACATGTACTTCACAGGACTTCCCACCTTAATAATATACACTTGCAGCCAAATAATACAAAAGATACACTGAATGGAAAGGTCAACACAACTTAAAAAGCCAATAGCTAGGATAACAAGTAATGAGCACCAAAGAAATAGGGGTAGTGAAAGATCCTACAAAAGCATTGCATCATCATTTCCTCATTTAACCTATCTCATAGTTCCTCTATCAACTAAAAATTGGTGTTTTAACAACATTCCACTACAGTTTTCCGCATAAGTGCATTCTGATAGGGAACACTTTATTTTAAGTGATCTTATTGTTCCCTGTATGAATTCTCACTGTAAGATAAAATAAGACGGGTATTGTTTCACATAAGTCACCTGATGGTCATGAAAAAAATTAAGGGAACAAGTTCATGGCAATGCATCTACCATAGAAAGAATTGTGTAAAGCTAATACCATAAGACTGCAAGCTATTAAAATCAGACAAGGAGGAAAAACACTTACAAAAGGAACCCACTTTGAAGTCCTCCTCTTTAGATGCAAAACAGGAAACTCTCCCACCGCTCCAAGCTTATTCCACCTTATTCTATGCAACTCTGTCAAAATGCTTGCTCTATACTTGGAAGAAAACTTCATAGACTTGAACTTCCCACGGCCATCAGTCCTGACACTTATGGTAAACTCATTTGAATTATCATCCCTGCCAATAATAGGGGCGGCACCATCATAATCAGTCCCAACATCGTAGGAGTTGGTGACTGATAATGTAGCTGGATCGAGTGTAATCAAAGTGAAATTCGATATACAAAAAATCCTTTTGTATCGACCTCTCCATGAGTGTTTGACAACCATATAACGGGCCAAGTACTCGGGCTCCTCGGAGGCATGAGAAGGTGGAACCGAATAGGAGGATGTGGATTCAGAAGGTGTTTGCTGGTCAGAAGCGTGTCGGCTGACAAAATCCATTTGAGGAAGGTATTGAAGAGAGTAAGGCTGTGGTGGACTAGGGCGCAGGAAAAACCATATCCCCGAACCACCGGCCGGCCCAGCCGATGACGGTCTCTGTTGAGACTGATTGGCACCCAGCCTTCAAAGTCACACAGATTTTTTATTATTATTATACTTTATCGCAATCAAAATCCAAATTTCATGACCATGGAAATTTCAATATTCAACGATCAATCTGCACAAAACCCTATCTCTCGTCAATTTCTTCTTATATAATAAATAAACCACAGAACCCCAATCAGCGAATTCCGAAAGATGAAGAAAACTTTTACTATTAATCTGAAAGAGATATATGGAAAACAAAAAATAGCAACAGATCACAGAAGTTGGTTCATCACTATACGTATAATGGGTTCATTCCTCTTTGACAGCCTCGATTATTGCCTAAGCAGTAAGGCACTTCTATTCGCACCAAAACATTTCTTTTTTTGCCCACAGCTCCCTCCTATTTGAAATAACTTCACTATTATCCTCCTCACTTGACCAAAATGATACTACCAACTAGTCAATTTAGGATTTTATCATCTTCTAAAATTTAATCAAAATAAAATACACCGTTTTCATCCAACTATCATAATGATAAACTTAAAATTGTTGGGAAAAGATACCAAAAGTCCTAGACTATGATCGAAATTTTAAAAATACAATTTAATTAAATTAAAGTTCTATTATTCTCTAAAAAAATTTGTAATTTTGTATACCTTTTGGCTTACGTGACATTTAAATATCTCACACGCCCCTCAATTGTGTGAAATCGTGGAGTATGTCACATAAGACAAAATGTGTAAAAAGAAACTACAAAAAAAAGAGGTCCAGGGGTAATGAATCCTTAGTTTAGTTAAGGTATGGCGTTGAGATTTCGATCATAGTCTAGGAGATATTTGCGCCTTATCCCTAAATTATTTTCAAAACTCTAAATATCATCAATTTTATTATTTATTTTACGCACTTAACTAATTTCTTTTTTTAAAATAAAATTTGGCTTATATTGGACGAATAAAATTATAAGAAAAAAAGACATAATGTAGTGAGTAAAAATTTAAATGGCCTAACTTTGACTTATATATAGGGAAATTATGTCTAGTGTCTTTCAAAGTGTTTGATTTTAAATTTTTATCCTGCAAAGTTTTTTATTTTAAATTTTTGTTTTGTACTTAATGATTCTTTTTAAAATAAAATGAGCTTAATGTGAAAATATAGCTTGGAGATTAAAATAGTAATTTATGTCTCATGAGCAACAATTTGTACTATATCGCTAGTGCAAAAATTACAACTTATGTCTCGTCGACAATATACATATGTTTTCTTTTGCTTATATGGCAGAACGTATGGTCAATTTTACAGATCTCGTGTCTTCAAGTGTATTGAAAGTCTACTTTATGGGAAAAAATTAAAACGTCTTCCTTAAGGGCAATTTTTTTTGGCAGGGTCAAAATCAAAACCACATTTTATGAAAGCATTTTTGTAAGAAATTTCTTACGAGAAACAAATATTGAGATCAACTAATTTTAAAAGTCAATTATGAACTTTACATGTTTAGTCCCTAAATTCACTTTAGACCTAAAATAATGACAATTTATAGTCAAGCTTTCTCTCTCGTGCACATCTCTTCCCCTTCATTCTCAACGTCGATAATTTGTTATCATGGCTTAATATTTTACCATTGCAAAAACATTCTGATGAGTTAGTGGGAAGTTGGACGAGTGATAACACTCAAAATCACTCTCTAAAATCAATTAAAATAGTGACTGATCGCCGTCAGTAAAAAATTCAACAAAGAGTTGACATCAAATCCCACAAGGAATGGTATATCATGGGAAATTCCTTATCAAGAAATTTGGAACTTAAATTAACTCATTTGTAATAGTAAGAGCTATTGGCGGAATTATGCCACCAACTAAATATAATGTTTTGGTTATCAATAAACACAATTGAACTAAAATGTTAACGAAATCAAGAGCTAACAAGAAGTCAAGGGGTGCGGAGATTGGAATCGATATCACAGAGTGGTAATTGTGTTATCCTATAGTGATGAACATTCATGAATAGGCTAAGTCATCTTCATTGATGTTTGCCACCACCCCCCTCCACCGAGATACCCCCGAGACGTGGACACAGGACGTAGGACCACACGTGATCCCAAGATAACCCTGTTGGTATGATCATGAGCATACTTAAGATAATAAAGGATGCGGAAGCTAAATTATAATTAAAATGAAAGATGGGGAATACTCATATACTATAACAGAGATATATGAAAATCGATGAGTTTAATACAAAGAAGATTAACTCAAAAACCACTTTCTATCATAGTTCAAAATGATAATTAAAATGAAAGATAAGAATTTTTTTAAAAGTGCGGCATTTAGAATTTTTTTAAAAGTTCAATTTTCACCAAAATTAGAGCCAAAAATAAGTGTAACTAAATTTTTTTTTTAAAAAAAAATAAAAGACGCTTGTTTCTAAGAATAGAGTCTTGAGTAAGAAAACCCTAGTAGCATCTGTTTGGCAGCAATCTCAGCATAGTTCAGAGCTCTCAGCATTTAATCTGTGTATTCTCAAAACAAAGAAAGCACATGTGTAACTAGAAACGATCTCAACTATATCTCTATTTTCTACGTTACTCGAATATGTTGCTTAAATATCAGGTATGCCCACCTGCTCGAGCTGATTTTTTCCGTCTCTAAGTATGATATGTTGTTTGTTTTGTGCAATTTATACCTTTGCTTGTTGATATATTCCTTTTCTTTTGAACTAGCTGGTCGTTCTTTTAAATATGAAAGTTTGTGGTATGATAAGATCCAAACTAAGAATGGGATTATTCCTAAGAGAATAGTGCGTTTCTAATTGTTCTGGAAACAGAGGTACTCGAAGCTAAATGAACTAAAATAGTGTTTGAGAGACTACAGAGAGAGAGAGAGAGAGAGTTGTATTAAACATGAATTACAAGTGAAGTATTTTTCTGATTTTTAGTCGAGCAGTGATAGAAAGTAGTTGCAGTTGTTCAACTGATCCATGTGCGGCATCACGTGCCACTAGTTCCTAACAACTTTCTATCTAGCTAAAAAATTGCAGTTGCTATTGCACTATTCTGAAGTTATCTAATATAAATAGATCATATCATAGTGTATTGTGTATGTCTAAAGAATCAATTATATTTTACAATCAAATTCTTCCGTTCTTGTCTAACTGAAACTATGTTTACTGTCTACTATAATCTTAGGTATGCCGCCTCTTTCGCAAGTTTTATTAAGTTTCATCTCTAATTCTGCTTGTTTGGTTTCTTTGTATACTATTGTTGCTAATGTTCTGATAGTTGCTAGAGTGGTACTAAAATTGAGAAATCTATCGTGAATAACAACTGAATCTGGGTGTAGCTCGTCGCACCAGACTTGCCTAGTGCGGGTTACCTCTCCTATGTGGTTTGCCAGCTATTGCATAGGAGCGGGTGTTTTACCATGTGCGCACCCAAAGGGTAGCGACCGTGGATTTTCCTTGTCATTAAAAAAAAACAACTCAACAATTGTTCAACATTTACGGCAAATAGAGCAGGCGGAAAGAGTTGTTGTAGTTGTTAAAACTGATCCACATGGGTAGTAACGTGCCATTAAATCCTGAGAGATTTCTATCTAACTAAAATAAATTAGGAATTTCAATCATTAATTTCATTTATTGCTTGATGGCATGAAGTTTCATTTCTAGCCGCTTTCTTTGTATTTGGTGTGGCTCAGCCTCTCCGGGGAAAATTAAATATATTAAGTGGGCAGTCATATTATTTAATGATAAGCATATATATAAAAACATATAGCAAAGACAAGAATGAGAAACTCTTTTTCTAGTACATTTATTATGCCTTATAGTTTGTCAACAAACCTCTGGAACAATTTAACCTCCTCTTCTTCCTCATAATCGTGGAGTTCTGCTATTTCGAGCATCTAACAAGAACAGAATATTGTAGTAAGAAAATGGGAGCAGGAAATAGGAAAAAAAACAGGAAAATATAAGAGGTTAGTAACTGAAGAATGTAGTTTAAAGCACAACAACACCCATATTGCTTCTGTGGAAATTTCTTCACTTTCCTCCACAAGAGTTTGTATTGTCTCTAGTTTCTTTTGGAGCATGATAATTCCTCTATGGAGGTCTTCCTACTCACTAGTAACACCATTCAGATTTCTCTATTATTATTCACTTATGCTCCTTTTGCTAACAATATCATCATACTTGGTAATATCAATCTGTAAGTTCTCACTGTAACAGCGCTAAACATCATAATTATCCTAAATATATAATTAATTATTTGATTAATAAGATGGAGGGGTATTTTGGGGAGAGAGGACCGACATTGGGCTCTTGAAGTGAAGTCTTGCTCCACCTAAGTTCAAACCTAGGTGCAACCAATGAATTAAAGTGGTTTTTTATTTAAGCTATTGAATTAATGTAATTAATTAATAATGATTATTCATTATCTGATTTAAAGTAAAATAAAAATCAAATTTTTATTAAATAAACAAAACCTTATTGACTAAGTTCTAAAACTAGACTCCTAAGCCTCCTAGAACTCCCACTCTCTCACGTTTATCTCTCCACTCTCACGCTCAATCTCTCTTATTCTTTCTCACATTTTTTCTCTGCCAAAATAATATACAAAAGCAGAAAAAAACCAAGTTCTTCACCCTAGAAGAACTCACACGAAATAATAAGAAAACAAACGTTAATCTCACACTAGGCTAAGGGAGGTTGTCATTCGAGAGGAGTTGATATTGAGGAGGCCTAAACGTGTGCTTGGGTGAAGTTTTTGGGAAGCAGGTCAAGATTTTAACGTCAAAAAGGTATGGGTTCTCTTCCCTCTTGGTCGCTTTCCAAAGACACCCCTTAAGGTTCAGACGAATCTATTCCAAAAACTAGGATTGTTCCCCGTTGCATGTCCCTGTCACTAGCTCCCATTGAATCATAGGTTGGTTATGTTTGCTGGTAGAAAACTAGGGATGAAACGTGTTTTCATGATGACTATGTGTTTATATGTATGTTTAGAATTATGTGACTTATGTTGATGTTTCCAAAAATATAATTATGTGTGTATGTGTGTGTTGTCGTGGCTATTGTTCATGGTTTAGGACTTGAAATTGCATGATAGTTCTTTATATTTCATGTACACATGTTGATGTAAATGTGATGTTCATATGGGTTGAACTGTGGCTGATTTGAGGGATAATCGCTTGTCTAAACGAATCCATCAAAACACACCAAATACGTTCTAAATGCACTACGAAATTCCCCTAAGAACTAAGGTGTAATTTGATGAAAGGATGCTGAAAAATTAAAAGAAAACTTGCAGCTTCTAAAGATGAATTTCGGTCAGCAAAGAGGGTTCAAAATGTTGAAAAAAATGAATTAAAACAAGTGAGGTCATGGAGGATTGAACTCGTGACCTCACCATGTTAAAAACCATGAAAATAAAGAAGTTAAAATAAATGTGCTGAATGGGATTCGAACCATGGTATTAGCTTGAAAATGTAAGTTAAAACAAAAAAATAAGAAATAAGAGGAGTGAGATTCGAATCCACTACCTCTTAATCAGATTTAAAGAGGAGAATAAAAGAAAAATAAAGGGGGAGGCATGTGGGAATCGAACCCACGACCTTTAAGGAAGATTAAGGAGGAGAATAAAAAAAATCTAAAGGGGGAGGCGTGTGGGAATTGAACCCACAACCTCTTAGGCAGATTAAGGAGGTGAATAAAAGTAAAATCAAGGGGGAGGCTTGTGGGAATCGAACGCACGACCTCTTAGGCAGATTTAAGGAGGAGAATAAAAGAAAAATAAAGGGGGAGGCGTGTGGAAATCTAACCCACGACCTCTTAATTAGATTTAAGGAGGAGAATAAAAGAAAAATAAAGAGAGGTTGTTGGGCTTTTATCCCATAACCTCATAGACAACTCGAAATAGACAAGGAGAAATAGATAAAAAATAAATAAATAAAAGGGGATGTGGGGCTTTGATCCCACAACCCCTCGGCCAAGATAAAGAATTTTCAAATGATAGAACTAAAAAGGAAATAGTGATGTTAGGGCTCGATCTAGGGTCCCAATGACACGTGGATTAGAATAAATAAAAAGAAAAATGTAAAGTGTTATCCAAGGGATTTTAAATTGGGTTCCCTTGCCCGAATTCCGTACATGAATTAAATATTCAAGAATAATGCTGCCTACTGAGATCGAAATTGAGATCTTGGCATAAATACAAGATGCATAAGTCTTGTACTACATAATCTTCGAAGATATGAATTATTTAAACAAACGATGAATGAAGCCTCATGACTTGTATGTATAGACCCATAAGTCTAGCATACGTTTAAAAATAAGTCAACCTAAGATGTATGTAATGAAATGATGTAACCCTAGAAGGGTTAAGTAAGAGGGTAACACACTAAATGTCCATGTCCGTTGGCACATAATGAAATGAACAATGAAATGATGAAATGAACAAAGAAATGATGAAATGAACAATGTAATTATGAAACCCTATAAGGGTTAAGTATGAGTGTGAAACACACTAAATGTCCAATTGCATTGGCATATGATGAAATGAACATTCACGTAAAATGGGGTGCGTAATTATGAAGAGAAAATTTACTAATGTTAATGAACGTGGTGACAACATGATATGAGGCTTATGTGAAAGATGAGAGCAATCTTAAATGATCCTAAGTAAATGTTACCAAAACGTACTCACCTATGAGAGTGTAAAGTTAATGAAGAGACTTGTCTCTATGAACACTCTAATGAAAGTATTGAGATTAACACATTGAATACTAATGATGAGATGAGAAATCATCTATTGAGATATGATGTTCTCATACTAGAAGCCAACTTCCGTGACGTATGCGTTAAATATAATGAAACTTTATAATGAGAATCGATAGACTAGCTATGAGCGGTGCTTCCTTCTTTCGGGAAGGGCGGAGGTTCATGTAACTCTCATTAGATCAGACTGTCCGGTATGTCGGGTATAGGTCTCCTTATATCTCCTAGTATTCGAACCTATACTGCCAATATAGGGATCTGGCGGGGTTCAATCCCCATGTACGCTAGCATGTTTTGGGTAACTTTGGCTGGTGATTCCACCTTTTTCGGTGTGAGGTTTCATGACACTGGATTTCATGATGCTCACATGATCTTTTGGGTTAAAGTTAAAGTTTATAATGAATGAATGAGGTCAGCCTCAAATGATGCACATAACAAAATGAGCGATACCAAAGGTGTTAGGATAGGATAATCAAAAGGTGAGTTAGATTCAAGTAATGACATTAGGTCATTCTTCACCATTGCACAACGAACCCGATGAAAGGCTTAAACTACATCCTAGGTATAGCTTGTGTTTACTCTGGCCCATAAATGAAATAAAATGAAGTACGTATGAATGAACAATACATTAAGATTCCGGTAAACATTCAAGTGTTCTTCTTGCTACTTTGCCATTTTGATTTTGTTCGAGTAAAAGTTGGATCAACTTGTTTGCATTGCTACCATTCCTAATCTATTTAACCGGTTAGTATTCGGAATTAGCATTTACATTATTTTTTATATTCGTACATTTGTGTGAGCTCATTGTTCTATTCTTTTGTTATGTATAAGTTGTTAAACAATTGCA